TCTGATTTCATTTCTTCTGGAAAATAAGGATAAAAAACCATTAAAAAGAAACAGGAGACCATTTAAAAAGAGAAGTTTCATTCATTTAAAGTTCTTTTCATAACTCAGTACCATGGACTCATAATTTTGTTCCCATGTATTCTAACACTAGTTTTCTTCTAATTATGTTATTTGTGCTCATGCAAAAATGAAAACATACCTTTATCTTCATTCATATTCCCTGAAAAAAAGAGAAAATTTAAAATATTGAGGGGAAATAGTTAAAAATCCATTAAATATATTAAGACAAAAATAGAATATAAATTTCAAATTGACTGGTGGATGCAGTTGGAAAGTATTTGTTTTACGTAATATAAGATACTTGTAGCCTTGGGATTTTTTTTGTAAATATTTTAACTCAATAAAATAACTTTTAACTATCTCATGATAAGAAACTCATTGCTCTAGAGAGTTCATTGCCTTTCTTTGTTCACATTGTCCTGATAATGACATTATTTTAAGGGCATTGTAAGTATAACATTATACCTAATCTCATCAAATCTACTGAATCAGTTTCAATTCATACTAATCATCCATTGGGTTTCCAAGGGATTAAATCTTTACATTGCTGAATACTCCTTCACAGAGGAGAGAAAGCTCAGAATGAGATGTATAGACACAGCGAGTACAGCAAGTGGCTCAAGTGTGTTAGAGATAATACAGGATAGGACAGAGTTCAGTCTGTTATTTCATGAGGTTTATATAAGTCATATTCTATGCATTGACAACTAAATCAACAACAACATATGTAGACTGATACCAGTAGTCAGGAGATTGGGAGATGTGTTGCATTGGGAAATCTTATAGTGAATGATACATTCTTGAATCAGTAAGGATATGCATCAGGGATGTATCCTTTATATCTGTTCAGTGTATATGCTGAGAAAATCTTCTGTGAATCTGGACTATATAGAGAGGAGGGCAGCTTTAGGAATAGAGGCAGATTCATCAAATAATTGTGTTGTACAAACGGCACATATTGCTTGCTGTAAGTAAGGAGGACTTAAAACGCTTGTGTTGGAAGATCAAGAACAGTTTCCAATAGGGATTACATCTGAAAATAAAGAAGACAAAATATTCAGCTCTAGGCCAATAGGAAACATCAAGACAGATAAAGTATTGAAATTGTCAGTGGTTTCTGAGTTATGAAACCTGAGTTTTATGTGGTCCATTAGTCATTTGGACTACTTTTTTCTATACACCATTACTTTTTTCCCCTCTTCTTTTTTATGGATTAGGAGAGAAAAATAGTTTTGACAGGCCAAAAACATAACCAACTGTTCCTACTCACAAAAATAAGGCATAAAACAAGGTTTTTGTGGATTATGTCAATTGATTTTGATTTCTCCCAAGACTGTAGTCCTGAAACATTTCAGGAAGCAAAGAGAGAGTTTGTTCAATTAATTATATACTTATATAATAAATATATTTACAAACATATAATAAGCATTTTTGCATTATATTTTAATGTCATTTTCTTTTGTCTTCTATTTTTGTACACAGTAAGAATTTCATAATAAATAAAAATACAGATGCACTTTCTTAGTAAAGAAAAAAATGAAAGAAGATAAAATCACTAGTAGAAAAACATTTATAAGACAATGCCAAAGCACTCATACCTATAACTTCACATAGTATAGGAGTGTAGATATGTCAATTATACTCTTAGTAGGTTATAAAAGTAAGACTCACCTTTCAAAAACTCTGATTTCATTTCTTCTGGAAAATAAGGATAAAAAACCATTAAAAAGAAACAGGAGACCATTTAAAAAGAGAAGTTTCATTCATTTAAAGTTCTTTTCATAACTCAGTACCACGGTACTCCTAGTTTTGTTCCTTTGTGTTCGAACACTATTCCACTTTCCTAATAGCTTGCCTCCAGAAATCCTACGACGAACCTGGATAAAGGATGAAACTCATGCAGGTGTCGAGGACTTTCGTCCATAGGGTGGCTAAGAGTTGCCTATGACGCGATGGCACGTAACAACATAGAGAGAGACCAGTTGGACTAGTGGACCAAAAGTGATGCTACTGAGACAAAGGGGGCTGACTCTAATCCGTGGCCGTCAGGTCTGCTTTTTAATTGTTGGTGGACAAACATTCTTCTAGGTCATGGAGTCCTAGTGTATTCACTTGTCATACAGAGGTAACTTGTGGTTGCTGTGAAGCTGAGCACTGTGACACTGATGAGTCAAATATGATAATGGTTACCCATGGTGGACAGTGTTTGGAAGTCCCTCTTTAAAACAGGCTTGGAAGCAGGAGTGTCATCCATTTCTGTAGATAGCTTGTTTTCGGAAACCCTATGAACTTGGAGAAAGGATGAAAGTTATGCAGGTGTCGAAGACTTTCATTCATAGGGTTGCTATGAGTTGCCTATGATTCAACGGCACTTAACAACAACAACATTCAAAAACTGATTTTCTTCTAATTATGTTCTTTGTGTTCATGTAAAAATGAAAACATACCTTTATCTTTATTCATATTCCCTGGGAAAAAAGATAAATAAATAAAATTAAAATATATTGAAGGGAAAGAGTTAAAAATCCATTAAGGAATATATTGAAACAAAGAAAAATAGACTATACATTTCAAATGTACTGGTGGATCTACTTGGAAAGTATTTGTTCTCTGTAATACAAGGTACTAGTAGCCTTGGGTTTCTTTGGCAAATATTTTATTTTCTTCAATAATGTAACTTTTAACTGTACCATGATGAGAAACTCATTGCTGTAGTGATTTCATTGCCTTTCTTTGTTCACATTGTCCTGATAATGACATGATTTTAAGGGCATTGTAAGTATAACATTATAACGAATCTAATCAAATCTACTGAATCTGTTTCAATTTATACTACCATCCCCGGGCTTCCAAGGGAATAAATATTTACATAACTGAATATTCCTTTATAGAGGAGAGGAAGTTCAGAATGAGATGTATAGACAGAGACTAGAGCAAATGGCTCAAGCATCTTAGAGATAATGAGGATGGTACAGGATAGAATATAGTTCAGATCTGTTGTTCATGTGGTTTCTATGAGTCATACTCTACTCAAAGGCAGCTTAAGCAACAACATCTGTGGGTGAACATGGACAAGGTGGAAATGGGCTCTGTGATAGCTGTAGCTGCGTGAGGGCCTATTTGGTGAACATAAGTGAGCCAAGCACACTTCCTTGCTGATAAAGCTGTTGTGCCACACCTGAGAAGCTGTGCATCCAAAATGACTACCAGAGGCTAGGGACTAGTCGAAACACTCATGATTTCTGCGATATATGTTCTCTCCGTATTGGCAATGTGCCCACATATGACTAAAAGTTTAAATTCTGCTGTACCCATAATAAATTTGAGTTGGCCAATTGACGTGCTTCTGGAGGGGTTTTTCTCTGTAGCACTCACCTTCTTCAGTGTGCTGCTGCCTTCACTATGACTTGGAAGATGCAGCAAACAACATTATATGTAGACTAGTACCAGTAGTCAGGAGATCAGGAGATGTATTGCATTGTGAAATCTCCTTACAGGGAATAGGGCATTGCTGAATGAGGAAGGATGTGCATTAGGGATGTGTCCTTTTTCTTTATCTGTTCATTCTGTATGCGAAGAAAATCATATGTGAAGCTGGACATTATGAAGAAGAAGGCAGCTTTTTCATCAGAGGAAGACTCATAAAATATTGTGTTCTTAAAATTGCACACTGTGCTTTTTGAAATTAAGGAGGACTTAAAACACTTGCTAAAGAAAATCAAGAACAAAAGTTTTCAATATGGATTACATCTGAACATCAAGAAGACAAAATACTCAGCACTAGGCCAATAAGAAACATCATGAGAGGTGGAGAAAAGATTGAAGTTGTTTATTATTTCATCTTGCTGGGATCCATAATTAGCACTCTTGACACCAACAATCAGATATCAGGAAACTTATTGCGTTGGGCCAATCTGCTTTCAGGGACATCACCAAAATGTTGTTATTGTTGTTGTTGTGATGTGACAGTTGAGTAGCTTGCGATTCATAAAAACTCTCTATACAAGAGCTCTAAACCTTGCTTTATCGGTTGCCAATATTATTGTCTCCCACATGCATATTCCCATTGCCTCAGATACTCATATGCAAATGCAAATCGAGGTCAAATAATGTAAAATAAGTCCATGGGAACCAAGATACTATCTTCAATCTACTTTATCTTAATTTCAAAGTCATATTAGAAATAGGTTTGAGGCATTAAACAGTAATGATTGAAGACCTGGTGAGTTGTGGGATGATTATCAAGGATATAATCCATGAAGAAAGCAAAAGGTCATTACAAAAAAAGTGGAGAAAGGAAAAACAAAAATGGATTTCAGAAAAGACTCTAATAATTGTACTGGAACAAACAGAGGCTAAAACAAAGGGAAAACGTTCTGAATTAAACTAGTCGAACAGATCATTTCAAAGGGCAGCTCAAGAGGACAAAACAAAATATCATAATGTGATGTATAGAGAGTTCTAATAAGAGAATATAAAGGGGAAAACTCACTCTAGAGTTCTCAAACTGAGAAAACTGAAAAATACATTTATACATTGAAAGATGCTACAGGAAAAATAGTGAATAACCTAGAAAACATCAAAAGAAGACATTCAGATGGTAAACAAACAGGTGAGGAAATGTTCAAGGGAGATCATCTAAGAGAGATGCAAATCAAAACAACTATAAGATATCATCTCATCCCAGGAGGAATAGCAAAATTTAGCAGAACAGCAAACATCAAATGCTGGTGAGGTTGTGGAGAAATTGGAACCCTTATTCATTGTTGGTGGTAGTGTAAAATGGTGCAACGACTATGGAAGGCTGTTTGGCTCTTTCTCAAAAAGTTACAAATAGAAATAACATTTGACCCAGCAATTCCACTACTAGAAATATACCCTAAAGAAATCATCACCACCACCCAAGAATATATATGCACACCCATATTTATTGTGGCTTTGTCCGCAATAACAAAAAGCTGGAAACGAACCAAGTGCCCATAAACAAATCGATAGAGAAGCTCTGGTATATTCACACAATGGAGTACTATGTAGCATTGAAAAACAAGGAACTCATGAATTATTATGCAAAAAGGATGACCCTGGAAGACATTATGCTGAGTGCAATATCTCAGTCATGAAAGGACAATATTGCACAGGGCCACTGTTGTAAAATGGGACTGACATCAGAGTTGAGGGAAGACAGAGAAGGAGGGGAGGAATGACATATATTGCATTGAAACAGATGAGAGAGAGAACTGTTTAAAAGGGATATAGGTGGAGAAGGGGGACAGCCAAAGGACTTTGAAACCCTCTGCCCACTTCCCAGGTAACTGTGGACCGCCCGGGATCCATTTCTCAGTTCGGGCAGAAGGGAAAGAAAGAATTCTGGACAGGAGGAGAAGGGGGACAGCCAAGGGACCTTGAAACCCTCCGCCCACTTCCCAGGTAACTGAGGACCATGCAGGATCTGTTTGGGCCCGAGGGCCACAAAGAAAAAAACCTGTCTACATATCAGTTCTACAGGACCTATCACCTTCATTCGGGAAACATTACCACTAAACTTAAGAGACACCGGTAATAGCATAAGAAACTATCAGCAGCCGATGTGTTTGGAATCACAGAAGCCAAGGAAGTTTCAGATATAAGCTAGCAGATCAAGGGCTGGACAATGGGAGATCAATGTTGAAGTGAGTGGGTAGAACTGGATCGGTATCCTGGTGGATGGTGGAGCAGGGAGATAAGTGAGTAAAGATATGAGTGCCAAAGGCATGGACAAGACTGATACTAATGATTAACTCCACAATAAGGGATATATCTTTCACTTTTCTGTAAAATGCTAGTCTGTCTGATACTTTTCTAAATCTGAATATTCAGATTAAGACAGAATAGGAAGAAGGCTTGGCCATCCACTTCTGAAATAGCAGGCCTGTGAAAACCCTATGTACAACAGAACACATGTAGAATAACAGCACAACTGAGGTGGAGCTTTCATGTATGGAAATACAAAGGAAGAGGAAAAGTTGTAAGCAGACCCTAGTGATTGGGACATAGAATGTGAGAACCATGAATGTAGGAAAATTAGATATTGTTAAGGAAGAAATGGAACGCATAAATATTGACATACTAGGCATCAGGGAGATGAGATGGACTGGCATGGGGCATTTTGAGCCAGATAATCATATGATATATTACTCTGGAGATGAAAATGTGAGGAAAAATGGAGTTGCTTTCATAGTTAAGAAAGCCATTTCTAGATCCATCTTGAAGTACAATATTGTCAGTCCTAGGATTATATCTATACACATACAAGGAAGGCCAGTGAATACAACTATCATTCAGATATATGCACCAACAACCAGAGCCAAGGAAGAGGAAATAGAAGCCTTTTACCAACTTTTACAGTCGGAGATAGATTGAACATGCAATAAAGATGCATTGATAATAATGGGTGACTGGAATGCAAAAGTTGGGAAGAGAGAAGAAGATTCAGTAGTTGGAAAATATGGACTTGGTGACAGAAATGTAGTTGGAGAGAGAATGAATTTTGCACAATGACTTGTTCATTGCAAATACGTTTTCTAAGAGACATAAATGCAGGTTATATACATGGATTCCACCTGATAATATGCATAGGAATCAGATTGATTACATCAGCAGAAAGAACCACTGCAGAAGCTCTATATCAGCTGTGAAAACTAGGCCAGAAGCTGATTTTGGAACAGACCACCAACTACTCATATGCAAGTTCAAGCTGAAGCTGAGGAAAATTAAACCAAATCCACGGCAAATAAAATATGAGTCTATCCCACCTGAAGTTCAGAATCATCTCAGGAACAGGTTTCAGGCCTTGAACATTAATGAGTGAAGACCAGACGAGTTGTGGGAGGATATCAAGGGTATCATCCAG